GTGGACCTTATCAGCCTATCATCTCGGACTTACAATCAGGTGGCTGCAGCTCCGTCTTACCACCTACACATACTGTGGCAGGCCTGAGAAGCAGAAAGATCCTATAGATCCAACCGCGTACTGTACCGCGGCTTTTGTTTAGCGATAAAATGAGGGGTTCGCCCCAGCTCAGGCGGCCGTCCGCCCAGCTTCAAACAGCATGTCGCCAACACCGTCCTTCAGGGTCAGGCTTGCTGAACTTCGCGACGTCCCTCGTGTCACGACGGTTGCCCTCGCTAGTCTACCTGATGACCCGGGGTTCGAATTCATCTGGAGGTACAGGCGCCAGTATCCTGATGACAGTCAATTCTTTTGGTTGCAAGTGTTCAAACACTATCTCTACCACCCCAAAATCACACTCATCGTGGCTGAAGAAGTCGCGTCAGTGGAGGAAAAAAGCGAAGATCGTGGAGAAGCAGTAGCGACAATAATCGCGTTCGCATTATGGGAGAGAAATGGAAAGAGTATGCTGTTACAGGCTCTGACGAACCTGTGGAGTAAGGGCGTGTTCAACGCGCTACACTGTGAGCATACACGCGCGAACCTCGATGAACACAATACTGAGCAATGACAGGTTACATCACCTTTATAGAGAACTGGGCCATAGGAAAGGAGTTCAGGCGGCGTGATGGCGATCCGAAGCGCATGATCGCCTTTCAGCAAGCGCTGAACTACACCCACTCGAAATATTGGGAGAAGATGTATCCTCAGAACTACTACCTCGTTCTGCTTGCAACCCATCCAGACTATCGTCGGCGCGGTGCGGGCACTGCGCTCACTCAATGGGGTGTTGATCAAGCTCTGGCTGCTGGCATTGAAGTAGGCCTTGAGGCAAGTCCGATGGGATTTCCATTGTACCAGCATATGGGCTTCGTTCTGTTGGAGAATCTGGTAATTAAGCCAGATGCGGATGACGATCCTGCGAGTATGCTGCTGAGGGTTATGGTATATGACAAGAACAACAAGTTCTCAATGGTCTGATTTTGGGAATCGCCTGCTTGCGATTGAGGAGGACCGTAACATGTACCTATTGTGTGTTGAGGTAGGGTGCTAGGTGGGTGCTGAGCCGCCGCTCGAACGGGGGCGGAGGTTCAAATAGCGCCCGAAGCGCCGACTGCCCACCAAGCTGCCAGCGCGCGGTCGCAGTGTTCCGTTCCCTCTCCAGCAAGCCACACAAATATCCAACGCGGACCGGGAACGGCGCAACAACAATCGCTTCCTACTTTCTCATAAGATTGAAATGGCGCCGAATTGTGCATGTTCGAGAAGCGGGGACGGACGGTGTTGTGGCTCGCAGCACCGTTCAGAATAAAGCTATAAAAGCATGGTCATTGTTACCTGCCATCCGTATCATCTATTCCATTCAGATCGTCCCTTATCATTAAATTGACAGCCTGCAAGGCTTCTTTTACTATTTATCGCCCGTCATGAGTATTGGAAGAGCAGCAGCTACACGCGTGTGCGGCAAGCCAGTGGGCCCTGTCGGGCTCGGAATGTTAGGTCCGTCCCACGCTGCCTGAGCATTCTAGACGCAACGTACTGACGGCAGACTCTCCAGGCTTGACTCTTCCTGCTCCATTTCCTCAATTCGAGCGCGAGCATCAAATCAGTCTGCTGAAGACCGCATTAGACCAGGGTGCAAACCTATGGAACGGAGGTCTTCACTATGGCACACCGGAGTCAAACTCCGTACATCTGATGCGCCACTACTTCGAAAAATACCCCCAGGATGCTGAACAGGTTGTCATCAACATCAAGGGCGCCTTCAATCATGGAACAGGCCCCGTAGGCAGCCCAGAGGCCATTCGCGCATCTGTTAAGCAGGCTCTGGAAGGGCTAGGGGGCGCGAAATCCATTGATATCTTCGAGATGGGTATGAGCACGTCGGAAAGTTGATCTTGCAGCAACAACTGATGAAATGCCAGCACGCATCGACCCCAACACGCCCGTTGAAACATCCATCAAAGCTTTGGCGGAACTGGTAAAAGAGGGTAAGATCGGGGGCATTGGACTATCTGAAGTCAATGCAGACACCATTCGCAAAGCTCATGCCGTTCATCCCATTTCAGCCGTAGAAATCGAGCTGAGCCTGTTCACACCCGATCCCCTTCACAATGGAATCATGGAAGCATGCTCTGAACGTACGTCTTTCCGCGAAAGAACTCGCTTTGAAGATCCGACGCTGACAACACCGATATAGTCGAGATCCCTGTGATTGCGTACAGTCCGGTCGGTCGGGGCTGGCTCACGGGAAGTTTCAAGTCACTCGATGATCTTTCGCCCAACGATTTTCGCCCGAAGATGTTCGATCGCTTTCGACCTGAAGTGTTTGATCAGAACTACAAGCTTGCCGAGGCCGTGGAGAAGATTGCCCAGAGCAAAGGCCTTAAGTCGGCACAAGTCGCTATCGCTTGGGTGGCGCGGCAAGGGGCGATTCCCATTCCAGGGTCTACCAACATCGAACGCGTTACCTTGAACAGCAAACTTTTAGAATTGACCGATGAAGATATGGAAGACCTTCGAAAAGCTCAGGAGACATTTCCCGTTGCAGGTAAAAGATATGGAGGAGCGCATGAGAAGCTGCTGAACGGTTGAATGTTGAGCCGAGATTGATGTTGTCATACTGCAGATTTCGGAGTTTAGACGGACGGAGATATTGCTACGTCGATTTACCTATTGCCATCAATTTCGTTGTCCTCATCATTACCCTTGCTTCACGAGGTCTCAATACCTTACTGCTACGTCCTAGTTGCAATGAGTTCAGCCTGCGAAGAATCTGAAGAAGTGACAGCCACGTCGCAAAACACGACTCATGCACATCATGGGTCGTGTGCAGTCTGTGCGAAGGCGAAGAGCAAATGTGTGAGGCGTTCGGAGGGCAGCAACTGCGAAAGGTCAGTCAATACAGCACGACTGATCAATTAGCATGAGTACTCAGTCCGGGGGATTATCTTGAAAGATTTCAGAAAGAAACTTAACATATTCTTAGATGTGCGCGACTACATAAGGTCTGCCAGACTCGTGAGCCAACGAAACGCAGAAGCAAGGCAAAAACAAGAACGTGAGTCAAGTTCGAGCGGCATCCAATTTCCGGGTTCACGATGCTAAATTGTGGGTAGACGATGCGCTCAATTGCAGCACCTCGAGGCACAGCTCGCAGATATAACCGAAGCTCTGGCCAGCAAGCAAGCGCCAGAGGCATGTACAGAATCGGGAGTGCATACTTCTGCTTTACAGCAAATAAAAGGATCACTCGAGGCACCGCTGATCATGACTCCAAGCACTACTGAACCTGTCGGTACTACAACTCCTGCTCGCGACGCGATGCTTGAGATGAACGAACCAAACACGGACGTCTTATTCGATCGTTACCAGAGACTGATGGCACCTCACATGCCTTTCGTGGTGTTTTCAACTGGTACCGATGTTTCGAGCTTGGCCAAGAACAAGCCGTTTTTGTTGCAGGCTATTAAGACAGTAGCTTTCTTTCATGATACCGCAGCCCAACAGATCATGGTAAAGGGTCTTATACGAGAGATCTCGGAGAGGGTGTTGATCAATGGCGAGAGATCACTCGATCTGCTACAGGGTATGCTAGTGATTGGAAACTGGTATAATCCGCATCTGTTCGCACCACCGAGCCACACGGTACTTCTACACCTTACCATGGCGCTCATCCACGACCTAGATATCGATCGTGCACCAGGGTTTTGTGAGAAGACGGCTTTGATGGCAGCGTCACAAGCGCACGGCGTGCCACAGCCGGCGAAAGTCGTAACGAACGATGAGCGACGTGCAGTTCTCGGAACGTTCTATCTAACCTCACAGATATTTACATCCTTCCGGAAGATCGATGACCTTAACTGGACTCCATGGCATACAGCTTGCGTCGATGTACTAACGCAAGCTCGAGAATACGAAAGCGACCTTTTGCTCGTACAGCTAGCGCAGAGTCAGCGCATCATGCAAGAAGCCATGGCCACCGACTGCGAGCATGCTCCGGTGCAACTATATGCTAAATCATTCTTGAGCGACCTCGACAGGACTGCGCTAGCGTCTGGAAACGCAGCGACGGCGATAGTGTCGCGTTTGCAGCAAGCCTGTACCCGAACTGCGATCTGGGAACGCTCATTCGGGAATCTTGCCACCCATACAGTCAAAGAAACGGACCTACGGCAGCGACTAGACGGAATGTGGCAATGTATGGACGCGGCCAAAAGATACACGGAGATATACCTTGAACTCCCCGTCGAGGACTATCTTGTCGTCCCATTCGGCGTTTTCGCGCAGTTTGCGTACATCTTCGTTGTGCTTGTCCGAGCAAGCCTGATAGAGATGGACGGCTGGGATGTCCAAGCCCTTAGAGAATTTGTTGACTTTTCGACGCTTCTGGGTGAGGCTTCTCGACGTTATGATGCTGTATCGCAGGCGCATCCTGATGGTCTGAACCTGAACAACGAAGCCTTTGCGAAGTGGTCTGCGAAGATCAAGTGGGCGAAATCTTTCTACGACACGAAGTTCTCGTGTTTGGCATCAAACGCACTGACAACAAATCAGCCTCCGTTTGAGGTCAGGGCCACTGACGCGAACAAACCTCAAGCACCGTACTCGGCTTCTCTCGCCCCTCTTGAAGCTCTAGAAGAGCCGACATCAAATCCATTCGCAGCTTTCGATGATTGGGGCAGTTTTGCTGATCCGTCAGCCTTCCTTGAAGACATGGACTTCGGACTGTCCAACGTGTAGAACAAAGAGGATGGGCCCGCACTTCGAACGCGGAAGTCAAACAACCCAGCTTCACGCGACATGCACGCGATATCATCGGTGAAAGAACGAGTTCCGACCCAATCATAGGCAATGTGGGCCGCTGGGTCTTGGCGGTTGTATAAGGTTAGCTTTGTCCTACGATCATACCTTCCATCCTCTTGCCCCGGAACTCGACCTGCAGCTGCACCCTCTTCAATATGGCTGATCGAATGCTTCGCCCCAATACCGCCATCATCTCGGCGATTTTCACCGAGTCGCAACCCAACTCCATCGAAATACTTGCTCACTCCTTCACCAACTGCACGTTCAAAGCGGAATTCCCAAACCGTCCCGCTGTCATCGTTCGTTTGGACACCGCAAGCGGATCGCTAGCCGTCGTTTCTGCAATTCAAGAGGCAGCTTCACTCAAAATACCGACTTATGTCCCCGAGATACTCAGCTACGGAAAGGTGGTGACGGAAAACCAGGGCGATATGCACTACATGGTCACCAGGTTCATCACGGAAACAGTGACTCTAGATTCTGTTTGGCCTTCTCTCAACCTCACGCAGAAGACATCTTTGATCGATGCTGTTGCAAATGCAGTCGGTAAACTTCAACAGCTCGACACTTCGCATGCGCTCCTTCAACAAATCCTTCCAAACACAGCTCTGGACGCAGTCGCAAACAGCAGAGATATTAGTATTGGCAGTTCATTCCTTGGTTTCGCTAAAAGTGTCCGCGAGTTCATCGCGCTGCATGTCGCTAAGCGTCAAGCCAAAAGATTTGCTACCTCTTCCATAGAGGACGCATTAGACGGCGACGGCATAGTCATCAGATCTGCCTTACCTGAGTTGGGTGACATACATCTTTCCTCTCGCGATCTTGGGGTGCTTGAAACAAGTCTGGTGCTTTCTCACAACGACCTCGAACCCCGGAACCTGCTAGTAAAGAAATCAGAAAGTGAAGACGGTCCACAGTACGAGCTTGCTGCCATCATCGATTGGGAGATGGCAGGGCTACTTCCTTCCGCCTTCGAAACAGCAGTCAAAGACGTCTCGTTGGGCAGTAACAATCAGTATCTCGACTATTATCTCATGTTCAAGGAAAAGACACGCTCCACGATATCTGGCGGGGAATCTTCCGAGAAGCTGATCAAAGCTATCCGCCTTATTGATGAGTCCTGGTCTCAGCAGATGAGAAGAAATGTCGGTGCAGAGACTCGAAAGCGTTGGATTGCTAGAGAGGGCCTGGAGTTGAGTGAAGACGCGTTCGAAGGATGGATTATGAAGCCTGCAAGGGGTGGTACCAAGCGTGAAATGCGTTCTTGCTCCAAGGCAGACAACAAAGAGCTTGAAGATCAGGTACTAAGAGACTTCGGTATGCTATAGCGAACGGTGACAAGCACTGTGTGGAGTGCTTTACCTTCTGGGATATACGTACGTGAAGCAGTGAGCTTGCCCTTGACGTCGGGTGTCTATATAGCGTATTTCGTTGCCAAAAGGATGTCGAATGTCAGAGTCGTCACACTACAGCTTTGATTCCCAGTTTATCAAATGCAGTGCCAACGTCCGCACACACACTTCCATGAAGGCATGTGGTGAAGATCTGTGGAGATTTTATGGTATAAAACATATAACTCTTCTCCTCTATTCCGCAGACAACAACTCCGAATCAACCACACAATAACTACTACAAGCTCAACCTGCACGTCCAACTCAACCAAATCGCATATCAAAGCATTTTCCCAGCAACACAGCAGCAACACAAAAGTACGTACCCCAGATCCCGGGTCTGTTTCTAGTTCCCTTCTCACTAACACACTACAGTGTCCGTTATCAAGCCTGAATCTACTCCTGTGGACGGTAACACCTGTGGGATTTGCGGGAAGAACTTCAACGGTTCATCTAACGACTGTACTTGCTATCAGGATTAGGCCGTCAGACTAGCTCTATCAGTCGCTGTAATGTCAAACATGGATAAATGTTCAGGGAGGGTGGATAAGCAGGATGTAGATCCTTTTTGCCAGTCGACCTGACTTTGTTGGTTGCGATACCACATGGAAATATGAAACAGTAAAGCTTGCACTATGACACATGATGATATGAAGTGATGGTTAATCTACATTTCTGGCAGATGCATCCTGGTCCTTTTCCTTGTTGCCGATGAACAGTGCCGCTAAAACTGCCGTGAAGGCGCAAATGCCAGCGAGAACGGCGTTCATGTTGCCGTATCCAATCTTGTCTCGTAGATACCCAGCCAGCAGTGGGCCTACAGTCAGCCCGCCGCTCCACACCATGCTGTTGATGCCGTAGAGTTGGGCGAAAGGAGCCTGCTCGAACATGTCTTTATTCGCCTTGTAGTAATTCTCCACGATAGTTCCAGATTCGACAATGCTAGGACTGTTGATAACCGCCAGACCGAGTCCGTTCATCGCTAGCAATGCAGAATAGAGTGCGATGATGTGGCCGTTGTCTAATCTCTCGACGATACTCGACTCAGTCGGAAGTCGGAGTAATACAAGCGTTGGTATCAGCCAAATGAACCCAAAGACTGATACTGGCTTCGTACCATAGTGATCGACACACCAACCAAAGACTGGACCCAGTAGGAAATCCGCACCGCCTAGTGGTAAGAAGAGCAATCCAGCCTTGAGACTGTCGAAACCCAATTGCTCCGAAGCTACCAACGGCACAGTAGCATCGAAAGAACCAAGAAGAAGAGCTTGCACAAATCCAATCCACACGGAGGTTAGCAGACCAGGATGGCGAAACAGCATGAGGATGGGAAGATTGCGGGTGAAGCGATTCGATGGTTTGGAGAGACGGTAGCGATCGAGCGGAGAAGGACCATTTGGTAGAAGAGGGGTTTGTTCCGTATCTTGTTGTTCGTTGCTCCGATCCGGTTCAGAGGCATGTGTCTCCGGAGTAGAGTATTTCTCAGCCACCTTCTTCTCCACCATGAGCAATCTCAAAATGAAGTCTATGCCAATCAACCCTATGGCCACTCCAAAGACACCTATGTATCCAGTCTTCGCGTACAATGAACCGCCGACAATAGGTGCGACTAGGGTGGAAACTGATATGAAGCTGAATATAGTTCCCATAGTCTTGCCCAAGTTTTCGCGGCCTACGGTCTCAACCAAGATAGCGAGGCCGATGGTCCACACCACACCTCCCGATGCTCCCTGGAGAAATCGTGCAATGGCCAGAACGGCGACACTACGCCCGAGAGCGAGAAGAATGGTCGAAAGTAGACATAGGATTAACCCGAGGAGGAAAGGTAGCTTTCGAGACGAAAACAACCTGTCAGCGAGGAAGCCTGCGATGGGTGAAGATATGCAGGAAGCTGCTGCATAGACTGCTAGGAGGTTCGATATCGTGCTTTGGATCTGAGAGTCAGGGAGATCGATGCGGTCTTTCAGCAGGAACGGCAGTACTGGTACGATGAGCCCGTACAAGAAAAGGTCCACGAATGCGCCCATTCCCACAGTAAAGACTATGAACAATGGGTGCGATCGCCATCGTATCCCTGGTGGTGGCATTGCATACAGAGTCTGAAAATCGACGACGTGATGAGATGCAAAATTGATGTTTGTCAGTTCTGGAAAGGCTTCTGAGAGAAGTTTCCGCACGAGCCTCATCAGCTCAGACGCATGCTGACGTCAGTACTCATGATGAAGGATGTAAGCGCCTTTTCTAAGTGCATCAGTGATCGGTAGAGAGAATTGATAGCTGTCAGCAGCAAAAGAACAATGCGCTCCATCAAGGATGAGGGGCGGCTCCAACCATGCACTCTCAGTCGTCCTTACCGCTCTTACGACTTAAGGGAAGAGAAAAGTTGTGTCAAACTGCTTAGTGACATATAGTAAGAGCTTTCGCGAAGTTCAGAACGCTGGAGATACATCGTATGTCGACCTTTGCATGAATTTCTGCAGGTGCAGAACTCCTCAGGGCCTGGTGTTCGTCGTCACGTGCGGACGCAGCCTAGCGTGCTTGGCGCGGATCTCGAATTCGAGCTCCCGACAGCTTCGTCGGGTAAGTGAGACCACGCCATACAACTCCACTACCCACACAACAGTCGCTTCAAGATGGCGGACAAGATGGAGGGCGTAGTAATGGGCGGCGGTCTCGTAGACCCCAGCAAATACCCAGTGCCCATCGAAACGTAAGTGCAAGATCATGCCCAAAAGGTAGGTCCCCTTGATGCTAATCGAGAAATATAGTATATACGTGAGTTGGACCACGAGCGCGCCAGCAACGCACTCACATTGCACTCGGTGGCGCGATTGCTGACAACACTAGGTCAACAACCTCGAGGAGCGCGTCAAGATCGATACCATGAAGCAAGCCTTGACACGGGTCTTCCAATACTACGGTCCGATCCTGGATGTTATCGCAAAGAGTAGTCTGAAGCGGAAGGGCCAGGCATTCATTGTCTTCGACAGTGAGAAGGCTGCGCTGGAAGCGGTGGAGGAAATGAACGGCTTCGAGATGTACGGCAAGGTCATGAAGGTGCACAGGGCGAAGACACACAGCGACGAGACAGTCAAGCGAAAGGCGCCGGAACTGTTCGACGATCACAAGCGGAAGCGCCTGACGCTTAGGGGTGCGCATCTCCTACCACTTCTGAGGAAGCTCTATACTGACTGCCATAGACTTCAAGCGCGCCGAAGAAGACGCGAAAGCGCAAGCCAACCCAGTCGCCGCCGAGAAGCCTCGCGCAGCCAAAACCGGAGCAGCCGCTGTTCCCGACGAATACGTACGACCCAACAAGACGCTCTTCCTGCAGAACATCCCCCGCGATGTCGACGAGGACGACCTTACGACGATTTTCGAGCGTTTCGAAGGCTTCAAGGAAGTGCGCTTGGTCTCGGTCAGGGCTGTGGCCTTTGCGGAGTTCGAGAACGAGCAGTTTGCGATTACAGCGAAAGAATCGACGGCCAACACCCCGATCGGCGCAGAGGGCAAGCCTATGAAAGTCACCTACCAGCGGCAACAGTAGGTTACTGCGTATGGATTATTGCTATGGATTTATGCATTTTATGATACCTTGTTCGGCACAGATACAGGCCGGCACAATAGAGTCTTATTATCAAAAGGCCAACGTTCACATTAAATGGCACAATGCTTATCTCTTATTTAGCTTGGTCGAAAACGCCCCGCGCGGGATGCCAAACGGAACCTGGACCACGGACTCCGTATCAGCCTTCTGGAAGGTGCATGTCTACATGCGAGACGTTGGCGAGCGAGAGCTAGAGAGGTGGATCCAGCGCCCAATGGGCCGCAGACGACACTACACGGACGGGCCCTACTAGTCGCCTGTAGAGCGCTTAGAAGATAACATCTTCGTTGTCCTCGTCGCCCAGCATGTCCTTGCTCTCGGCAGCATCTTCTCGCGCCTCACTCTCCGTCTCTTCGTTCTTCTGCTTCGCCGCCACCCTTGCGGCTTCCTCCTCGGCAGCATCCTTCTGCTTCTTGTTGGACACTTTCTTCAGGCGGTAGAACTCCTCTCGGTCGAGCTCGTCAAGCTCAGAGTTGATGTATTTAATGGTGTTTTCGGTACGGGGGATGATGACATGCTCACTGTTGGCTGTTAGCTTCGGCAGTTGTCTGGAAGGAAAGGATACCCACATGGCGTTTACACGGCGGTTGACCACCTTGATAACTTCGTCCAAAATGACAAAGGCAGTCTGTAGACTAGCCAGTTCCACCAAAGTCTCGACCGCTCTTGCGTATGTCTCTCTGCATCTTTGTACTTGCTGACCACCCTTGCCCAAACCCGTCAGGGCGAAGTCGTTGTTCTGCTCGACAGTGAAGCTTTCGAACTGCGGGAGGAAGACACCGGAGACGTTCTCTTGTTTCGTTCGTACGCGGAAGCGGGCTTGCTTTGCGGATTCTTGGATCTGGTAGCCAATGTCGCCGCCGACAGCGTAGGTAACTTCGGCAAGGGAGAAAGCAGCGACTTGCATGACTCTGCCCATCTTGCGCTTGGCCTCATCGATACGGCGCGTTATTTCTGGAAACGGTTTCAGTTACAAAGGCAGATGGTGGGGTGCATATAGCGTAGTCGTACCTCGAAAGCGCCTGCACATGGTCAGCAAAGCTTCACGAGTGGACTGGAGACGGCGAGTGCATACTTGGTCAAGGCCTCACTCTTCCGCTTCAGCAGGTCGTGGCCGGTCTGGGCGCCCTTGAGCTTGCCCTTCATCAGACCCAGCGACTGCCGCGTCGCGAAGACGGCCTCTCGTGCCTGAGGGTCGTGTTAGCATCAGATGTCCCGGGCATTGCATAGCTCGGGCTGGCGTACCCCGCTGCCAGACATGTTTGCGGCTCGAACAGTTGGTGGAGAAGGCTATGGGGCTAAAACCGAGGGTAGAGGCTGACAATGG